CCATCCCCAAACACACAAGCGTGATAACCTCTTTATCATATAATGTCATTCTTTAATTCTGTGCTTTAAAATCGATTTCCCTCTCTCACATACATTACCGAAACGTTGCGAGTTTTCCTGGAATGCGTGCATTAATATTAATTACGTCACAGGGTAAGTGATGTGTCAGTCGGACAGTGACAGTAGCCAATATAGTTCCAATTGAAATCTGTTTCTAATACTGTGGCGAAGCAGCATATCCGCAAAACAACAATTCTTTTTATTTGACTTTCGCAGGAATCCATCGGTCTGTTCGCTAGAGTAACTGCCCTTAGTCAAAGGGAAAGCTACTCTAATCCTAGTCTATGAGAGGTCACGGCCACGCTCAGGCGTTCACAGTCGGTCTGTCCTGTCATAACGTTAAGAAGTGTAGTCAGATGTACACACAGCGACAAAACGAACAAGGTAACAATTTAAACATAATTCCAACTATTTCAATTTGTGGAGGTTTCAACCCGCAGAGGTCTACAAGCACAGAAATGGCTACTGATCCCGCGTGGCTAGGCCTCGTACCCACCCAAAATTGTTTCGAAATTTATATCTCCAAAGTTGCCAAACTTATAAAATGCCTTAGCTACGTCACAGATAGACACTGATTTTCAGTATATTAGACTGTTCTTTTGATAATGATAGCAATTATCCCTGTAGTTTATCCAGATTCCCGATGGTAAATTTTGACTCGATCGCCGAATGACGATTGTTGTTTGTTTATAAACAGTGAAAGTTGTCCTACTTGACCTTTGATATTTGCATCTCTATCCGCATATGACCCCAACGGATATCGTTTTTATCCGTTGGCTTTATCCTGCCGAGAAACCTACCCATTATATGATAACCACATTGGAGATATAAATTCGAAACAATTTTGCGAGGGCACGAGGCCTAGCCAAGCGGGATCAATAGCCATATCTGTGCTTGTATACATCTGCGGCTTGAAACCTTCTCCACAAATCAAAATAGTTGGATTTTGCCGAAATATGTTTGAATTGTTACCTTGTTTCGTTTTGTCGCTGTGTGTACATCTGACTACACTTCTTAACGTTATGACAGGACGGACCGAGTGTGAACAACGTCTGAGCGTGGCCGTGACGTCTCATAGACTAGGATTAGAGTAGCTTCCCTTTGACAAACGGCAGTCACTCTAGCGACACATTCGTGACCAACTCGTGTTATTCCGGGACAAGCCGAATAACTTCTTGCAGGTCACGGAAAGGGGCGAGTGGTGACGAATGTCTAGCGATAGACCGATGGATTGCCGCGAAAGGCAATTAAAAACAACTGTTGTTTTGCGTATATGTTGCTTCGCCACTGTATAAGAAACATATTTCAGTTGGAACTATATTGGCTACTGTCACTGTCCGACTGACACATCACTTACCCTGTGACATAATAAATATTAATCGCCAAGGCTCGCTAAATACAATGTTTATTCCTAATGCAGGATATTTACCAACCCCAAACACACTCGCGTGATAACCTCTATATATATCTTGCAACCTCGGGGTATCGCGGTACTCATGATGTACGCTAAAAAGAACAAAATGCACTCACTAACCTTTATGACTATTCGTGTTCTCTATATCAGGTGTCATTTATTTTATCTAAATATGCATATATTACTGATAAAAGTTCATTTTTTACACTAGTAGCGCCGAGTAAAAGTGTTATCAGTAATAGGTATTCAATGCATTTAAGATTTTTGTTTAAAAAATAGGATGACAATAGTTTGTAAAAAAAATGTTTTGAAAAACAATAAATATATTTTTAAAAAAGCACTCCCAGTATGCCAAAAGTATGTATATATCATTTGGCTACTAGAGAAGAACGTATTTCTAAGTTTGGCATTATGGCCCTTATATATGATCTCCTAATAGATTCTAGCCACAGAGCGGGAAAAATGTTCGGACAACGTAACTTCCGTTACCTTATTGCCGTGAATATGCAGATGATCTAGTTCAGGTCGAAGGAGAAAGTTTACTTGGGAAACTGGGGGTTATATTGTTGTCCATTGATTGATGGGGGGTAAGGCAATATTTAAAAAAAAGATGCCAGAAGTAAGTATCATCGCGTTAATAACTCCTCACACTTACAGCAGACAGAACATTTCGGGGAAAATGAAATTGTCTACGAAGCGAGCACTTCCTGGTTACTAATTTGCATTAATAGACAGCCTCCATGAGGCGTGACCCGCGTGAGTGGATGTGTGTATATGTAGTGTGTGTATGTGTGCATGTACATAGAAATATATATGTGTATGTATGTGTAATTACTAGTATGTATGTAGGCTTGCATGTGTATTTGTGGTCATGTATTTTTTTATTTATGTGTACGTACAAGTAGCATGTGACATAGTTTGTACATTTCTGTACAGTGTAATGTCTGTACATTTAGGGAAAGGGCCACCTAAGTTGGATAACTTCTGCCCAATCCCGTCACTATATTTATCAATAAAATGTGTTTAAAACAAACAATAAAACAATATAAACGCACATATAATTAAACGGCTGAGAACTTTGTATCAACTGTTAATTAAACGGCTGAGAACTTTGTATCAACTGTTTTAACTTGTACATACCTTCGTGTGGCAACTGCGTCAAAGCTTCACATATTTACTATGAAATAGCAAATGGCCGCTTGACTTGATAAAGCCGGAAGTAAGATACATCCTTTTTCGTATAATGGGCCTGAACTATTGTGTTACTTATGTCATGCGCACGAGATATGTAATAGAGTAACGTGCACGCGTACAAGCAGCGTCACGAAATAAGTGTCACGTGCATGCATAAGCGACTCCCACTCATGAATATTGTAGGGCACAACAAGCATCTACCCTTGCCTTGGCACGAAAACATTATCATCATGTTAACGATAAAAAGCATGTAAGTTTTGAGAAAGGTTGAATTTCACTTTCAAGACAATATGGGGACGGTAGTGTAGGTTAGCGGTGAAAGCATTTATTTGACACAGGGATGAAAATCCTACAGTACAATGTAAGAAGCCCATTGTAGCTATTGCCCGCCGTACGTGTGGCTTCCAACATGCATACGTGTTTTTAGCATTTTGTTACATTGTTTCATATTCGTCTCACTCACCGTGTTTACATATTCATGTAGGTTTTAAGTTTTTGCAGAGACCATAAAATAATTGAGTTTATGGCCTCTGGTTTTTGCAATGATGAATCTTTTTTTTATTTCACCCGACAGACATTCGTTTCTGAAATTTAATAAGGAAATAATTGTTTTATCACACACACACACACGCACACACGCACGCACGCACGCACACACACACACACACACACACACACACACACACACACACACAGAGAGAAACGATACCACCTGTTTGCAACGACATAAAAGAAAAACCAAACAATGCAGAAGTTTAGGATTGGTGTTATGCTTTTGAGAAATCCTTTCACAACATCTGTACATAAATTTCATTTCAATAAAATCTGTACAACCAATATGACAAGCCTTTAAAGATGGGTGGGGTCGAAAGATAAACATTTCGTTAGAGCACTGATCACAGAAACAACGGGAAATGTCACACCACACGTCTCAAAGTCAAGTCAGTAGCGGGTATGTCCACCGTGAGCATCAATACATGCCAGAACACGCCTACGGACCGATGACGTCAAACGTCTGATGACGTTGGGAGTGATGCGTTGCCATTCCTCGAGGAGACATCGTTCCAAGTCCTGGACGTTGACTGGAGGCACACGGCGACGTCGGATTTGCCGATCGAGGTGGTCCCATAAGTGCTCGATGGGATTCATGTCCGGTGAACATGCGGGCCATGGCAAATCCTGTACGTTGGCGTTGGCAAGGAAGTTCTGTGTCAATCTTGCTGTGTGTGGCCTTGCATTGTCATGTTGGAAAAGGAGTCCACGAGGCTGTTGCTGAATAAAGGGCTTCACAACAGGCCGTAGGATGTCATCAAGATAACGCTGTGCATTCAGGTTTTCAGCGAATTACGACAAGCATCGTTTTGACGTCACCACATATGCCACCCCAAACGGCCGGACCTGTTGGATACAGTTAGGCGCCAAACGTTCACCAAATCGTCGGTATACAAGCTGCCGTCCATCGTTTCTGAAGATGGGGAATCTGCTCTCATCAGAGAACATAACACGTGCCCAGTCCCGCCGTTGCCAACGTCGAACTCGCCTGGCCCAGATCAGTCTGTTGTTCCGGTGTCGAGGCGTCAGGAGCGGTCCGCGGTAGGGATGACGTGGCCGGATACCATATACTGCCGTAGTCTCCTGTAGACGGTCTGTCGACTGATCCTGTGACCCAGTGCTGTAGCCGCCGTGGACGTCGCTGTTACGGTGCGGTTCCTCAGGTGTAATACCCGGATGTAACGATCTTCACGGGGCGTGGTTACTCGTGGTCTTCCACTCCTGGGCCTGTCTGACGTCTGACCTGTCTGACGTAACCGCTGCATCAACCTGGTGATAGTGATGCGTGCGCAGCCCAACCTTCTGGCGACGTCGACGTGTGACGCTCCTTGTTGGACCATTCCAACTGCTCTCTCTCTCTCGATGGCTGTCAAACGTGGCATATCTTGTGTTCTTTTTGTTGCTGTGATACAGATTTTCTGCACGTGCAGAACATGCTAGAGAGGGAAATGTCACTTTCACGAAATTTACGTTTTTTCCCGGAAGTGATCACGTGTTCCCGGTATTTTTTATCGACTATGCTGTGTTTGGGATGTGCAATACGAATTGGCATGTTTTCATACTTGACAATTCACTTAGTAAAAAACAATTTTGAAAATAAGTTGGTATCGTTTCTTTTGGACACTAGTTTATATTATACACTTCGACAGTTGGCTTTATGCTTTTCCAGCTTTTCCACATCAAATGATAAAGGAAGCAACAGGCCTAAACTGTATTGTGGGCGATGAATGCTTTGAAATATGAGCGCAACCTGACGACACTGTTAGGAGCTTGGGGTTAGCATTGTAAGGAGCTTACTTGTTTAGTTACCTCCCTTAGGTTCACTTCCTGTTTCATTTCTTGCACGTTTCAAAACATTATATTCCCTTCGTGTTATAACAAAGATGGGCAACAAGAGCAAAAAGAAACACAAACACAGATCTAGATCTCGAGATAGATCGAAACGTCATAAGAAACACAGAAGAAATCAAAGCAGGTACGTGTATTATTAAATACCTAGGCCTGAAATGTTATATGACTTGAAACATTATTCCAACAAAACCATGGACAGAAATCACAGCCTATCGGCGGCTTAAACTTTATTCTTTGATAACAAGTCCGCTGCAAGAGGACTAAAATCACTGATCACTGTGTGTGAACTGCTGGTGTGGGACACTGAATGTGTTAATTGGTGCTCAGCCTAACGAATATTCAGTCAGTCACCAATTATCCCAATTAGCAGAGTGAGTAAATTGGATTTTTGAAATGCCTTATGAATGATTGTTGGGGGTGTAATTGATTAAAAGTGCTCAAAATGTTTGAATGTGTGACAATGAAAGTGTATTAAATTACAAGTGCCCCAAAGGATATATATATGCTGGGAGCACCTTTAGAATCAAGTACCACAACTTCTCGTGAGGCCGGTCTCTCCCGTAGGTCACATGTCTCAGAGACAAGCAACCAGTTTTTTGTGAGAATCCGTCGGACACGAACTCGCAACCTTCAGATTGTTAGCCCATTATCGCACATACCGTCACAAGTCCTATCACTTGCTCTGTAAATCTCTGCAAGATTGCCAGACTGGACAAGATTCCAAATTGGAGTCGTATGTATCTGAAAAGTCCTTTCTGTGTGTTGATGGTTATCAACATTTTTGTGACAGTTGTCAGCAGTATTCCAGCTATATGACGTCTGTCTGTAAATAATCGAGGCTGGACCAGACAATCCAGTGATTGACATCATGAGCATCTATCCTGCAATACTATGACATCAACCAAGTCATCAAGCCTGACCACCCAATCCCTTTAGTTGCCTCTTAGACTAGTATGGTCAGTTTTTTCGGCAAGAGTGGCTTGCTGAAGACCTATTCTATCCCAGGTTGACTTAAAATGTAGTGGCATTAATAATGCTGAAAGATGACTTTTAATGTCTTGTGTATTTTGTGGATCTACAAAAGGCTACAATGAAAGTGAGATGAAGTATGTCAATACATCATCTGTGAATGGTTGACATGGGTGTACGCCTTCATTGTTCATCATAATCTAACTGCCCGTGTAACTTCTTGATAGATATGCAATAAATATTTTTTCTAATCTTCTAATATTAAGTCTCAAAGAACTGTTTTCTTGCAACACTTTGCTTACTCCCTTCAGTGAGGACTCCAGCGAAGATGCTAGCTCTGAGAGTAGGTCAAGGTCGCCTCAGCCAAGACGGGACAAAAAGCGAAAACATGCAAGGTCAAGATCAAGGTCACCCAAAGCAAGAAAACACGGGGAACCAAGTTCTTCTGCTAGTGATTCCAGTGACGACAGCCGGGAGAGACAAGACGAGAGAAAACACAGGCCACCCAATTCTTCTGCTAGTGATTCCAGTGACGACAGCCGGGAGAGACATGACAAGAGAAAACACAAGAGGGACAGGAGACAAGGAGAGAAGCTGGAACATTTCAAGGATCAGAGAAAGTAGGTAGAGACAGGACCGTTTCACCCTGTGAGATTGAATACATCCCTTACATGCAGTGTGTTGTTTGGGTGTGTATGTACCAGGCACATGGACCATTGCTTGTGAGGTGAGGTGAAATGGGGTTTAACATCGCGTCCAAGATTATTGCACTTATATAGCGACGCGCATGCACGTGTATGTGTGTGTGTGTGGCTGCTTGTACTAGTCCGGACTGATGCCGATTTATAGTGCAAGCACACTGAGATACCATGCCGCAGTTTAACATGAATACCCCACTCAGACACAGTATACTGACTCTGAGCCGACCAGTCCTTGTTTTAGCCCCTTAATGCCGAGCGCCAGACAGGGTAACAACAAGTACCATCTTCGAACGTCTTTTGGTATGACGCGGCTGGGGATCGAACGCCGGACCTTCCTCTCTCCGGGCGGACGCTCTACCATTAGACCACAGAGGCTGTCCCATTGCTTGTACTGTCAACCACCGGTCTGGCTGGCCCTGACTCCAGACAGGCCACAAGGATATACTAGATTACATGTTGACGAATCTTCAACTTTTCAGTAACAGTTACCAGGCAATTGTATTCCATCTCTGTGCTGCAGTTATCAGTTAAAAGGTGTAAGATACTAGGGGTGACTATTGGTCTGATAGACACTATTGCGATAACTATTGTTATTGCAAGCAAGTATTGCGATGAATATCGATAGTTTTCAGTGTAACATTTTAGATGGATTTTAGAGTTGATTTAAACCTTGGAACTGAATTTTCCTTTGAATGTGATAACAACAACAAAAAAGTAAAGTTAGAGATATGACTGATTTGTTTTGTCTTTACCCTAACAATTTAAGAAACTTCCACATTACCATGCCTGTGTGAATTACTACCTCTCTTGATCAAAAGAAAAACAAATTTGACCACATTGCATGTATTTTAATGCTATGGTAAATACAATCGAAACTATCGATATTCCTAACTAAAAACGATACTATTTATCGGAAACTGATTTAACAATGGATTTATTAACTTTAAGTGCTTACCAATAGCTATATATCGATATTTCTATTTATCGTGACACCCCTATAAGATACACAAGAACATAACAGCAGTAGAAACTAACATGTTTAGTCCACTAGTCCTTAAAATGATAACATATAACAAAATCCTTGAAAATGACAAATTTCTACCGGTCCTTTTGATGCCTAAACTATTGGGCAGATTTGCAAGGACTACAGGGCTAGTGCTGTTGCTGTGATAGGGACTGTCATGTACAGTTACATCCTGATACAGGGGCCCTTGTAAATATTACTTACAGAAGAGTCTAGACGTTGGTCAGGAAGTGTGTACTGGAGCAGGGGCGCTTAATACAGGGAATATGATACTTGGAATATTGCTGACTGCAGCATAAAACATTCACTCGCTCACAGCAACAGAAGTCCACTGTGGTTTGGAGTTGGATTGGTCACCATGTAATGTGTATTGTGTTATCTATGGTGGTCATGCCCGGAAACGTCATCTTTTGTACAGTGATGTCACAGGCGCTCCTCATGCTCATTAGTTTTCACTCTCTTTTACAGAAAACAGAAGGAATTAATCAAGGCACTTGAAACACCTGAAGAAAAGAGAGCTAGGAGACTTGCTAAGAAGGTAACACTCGAGGGGGTGTCCAGGTCTCCAATGAGCAGCTAGGGACTGACCATTTCATAGTCAGAGAGGGGAGGGGAGGCCTGGGATTTTGTATGGAGACAAGATATTTTTCCTGCTACCGCTGCAAAACCTTATATGTGACCTGTTAGGAGAAAAGGTACCTTATGGGCGCCAGCATACAATTGTGCTATGGCTTCATGAAGATGTTTGACATCAACATACATCAGTAAAGATTGATATGTGTGATGTCTTGTTTCTCTGTAATTAATATGAATTGAACACTGTGAATTGTATTTTTGTGTTCCAAATGTGTTAACAAAGTGGTGTGTTCTTACATCAAGCTGGGTTTTTTCTGTTTCCAGGAAGCAAAGGAGAGGAAGAGAAAGGAAAAGATGGGCTGGGACCAAGATTATCTGGTGAGGACATTGTCAAAACCATTCAAGAAGATTACTTGCCGAGGACCTCTGTGATATTGATGTATAATCTCAACCATAACACTTACTATAATTAATGCCAATTAATATGATATTTCTTCCAGAGTTTGGAACAGTATTCCTTTTAGATGTATTCAGATGTTGCACAGGTCCAGCTTGACTGGGTTTATTCATCAGTGATAAATAAGCTTATCCCGTAAATGTAAGTAAATAGATTGCTTGTTAGGTTCCATGTTTGTTAGATAGAAATGTTATTGTTATGACCTATTGCAGGGCTACACAAACGCTGACAATCCGTTTGGAGACGAGCATCTCCTGGATGCCTTTGTGTGGGGGAAGAAGATGGATAAGGAGGGAAAGAAGAGTTTCTCCAAGGATGACATTCAGAAAATAGCCAAGTCCAAGATGGGAGAGAACAGAGTCAGTAGCATTATTTCTTAGTGTGGAAATATTCTAGGTTGGGTGTCATTATGCATAGGTCTAGGCTATAATGACAATGGTTTGCCTGGCACTTCTCATCTTCCTGAGGCAAGAGAGTTAACTGTCTTTAAAAGTCCAGTTTCCACCCTTGCCGAACTAGGCTGGAATAACTGGGCTCGATCGTAGTGCCACCAGTGGCTATTTCCAGCTATGTCCCTTCTAAGCCTCTCCTATGGACCAATCAGATTCAACCTCTCGTATCACTTGCGTTTGCTTCAAACAAAATGGTGGCGCCCAGTCAGGACGATCTGATCGATAATCAAGATCTATATTGTGATAAAACGGGTCTTACATCGCGAAATGCATTAAATCATGTGAGCACCTTGATTAAAAACATGAAAAGATTTGAAAAATAATTGCTGACGAGTTGGTATTGCACATGTTTTGCAAATCCTGCAATCGACCGAAATCTGCACTACGGTTTACGAACCTGATTTTGATTTCGTTGCGCGATTTTAATTGCACTATGCATAGACTCGTTAGTCCAGCCAAAATGTAACTCCATAATACCAGCCTAGTTCGGCAAGGGTGGAAACTGGACTTTTATAGTCAGTTAACTCTCTTGCCTCGGTAAGATGGGCACTTCTTTTCGAGACCCTGGTTTACTTGCAGTCAACTTTGTACATACGTGTCAGGTATTTATACTGGACTGATTGGTGTTGTCATGGTTACAGAGAGAGCTGGAGAAGGTGAAGAAGCGGAGACTGGAGAGAGAGCATCAGCTGGAGGAGAGGGAGCAGGAGAGGGTGAGTTGTCTCCCTTGTGTGAGAAGCTGTATCTGCTCTGATATTTGAACAAGATGAACACTTTACAGAAACCATGGTAATGCATGTCTACATTGGTGTGATTTTCTGTGATCTATCAGTTTTTTACAAGCAGAAATAAAATCTGTTCTTTTAGCAAGTTTAAAAACTGTTGCAATTAATTATGATTCCTATTGGGGCGGTCGGGTAGCCTAGTGGTTAAAGCGTTCCCTCGTCACGCTGAAATCCCGGGTTCGATTCCTGACATGGGTACAATGTGTGAAGCCCATTTCTGGTGTCCCCCACCATGATATTGCTGGAATATTGCTAAAAGAAGCGTAAAACCATACTCACTCACTCACTCACTCTCTTCATGATATATGTACAGGAAACACTAGACAAGTTTATATTTCCATTCTGAAATCTGTTCAATTTTGTTTAAGGCACGACTCAGCAATATTCCAGCTATATTCCCATGAAGTCGATTGTTAATTCTCTTTGCCAACTATGGGCAAAAGTTTCATGACTGTGCTTTCAGCATGTTCAGGGTTGATGAGGACTTGCAAATGATAAATTCACAGATTAACTTACATCAATGTCACTACCAACGTTTCCATGGTGATTCAGGGTTAGAATTGGTCACCAGCAACCAATGCTGATCACAGGAGGCGACAAATGAATTGGGCGGTCTGGCTCAGTGACTTGGTTGATCACATATTTGGGATATATTATACTATATTCTTAATATCAATCACTGGATTGCCTGGTCCAGAGTTGATTATTTTCAGGTTGCTGTCATCATGGTCATAAAGCTGGAATATTGCTGAAACAAACAATCAACAAACATATGCCATTGATGTGCACAATTGTCCAGTGAGCTCTGTGCACTAGTTTACTACCCCTGATACCCACAAGCTTTACGAAGGATAACACTGGCGCTTTAATGGTGGATAAAAACTGTCTACAGCAGCTACAGATGTGCAATGGCTGGTGCTCTGTACCCCTGATTCATTGATGAAGAAAGTTGTTAGTCTGGAGGGTTTCAATAGAAATGGGCCGTGATATAACTGGAATATTGTTAAAAGCGGCGTTAAACCCAACTCACTCACTCACTCACTGGAAATGGCTGTATGTGAATGTAGCTGTTAGTCTGGAGGGTTTCACTGGAAATGGCTGTGTGTGAATGTAGCTGTTAGTCTGGAGGGTTTCACTGGAAATGGCTGTGTGTGAATGTAGCTGTTAGTCTGGAGGGTTTCACTGGAAATGGCTGTGTGTGAATGTAGCTGTTAGTCTGGAGGGTTTCACTGGAAATGGCTGTGTGTGAATGTAGCTGTTAGTCTGGAGGGTTTCACTGGAATTGGCTGTGTGTGGATATAGCTGTTAGTCTGGAGGGTTTCACTGGGAATGGCTGTGTGTGAATGTAGCTGTTAGTCTGGAGGGTTTCACTGGGAATGGCTGTGTGTGAATGTAGCTGTTAGTCTGGAGGGTTTCACTGGGAATGGCTGTGTGTGAATGTAGCTGTTAGTCTGGAGGGTTTCACTGGGAATGGCTGTGTGTGAATGTAGCTGTTGGTCTGGAGGGTTTCACTGGAAATGGCTGTATGTGAATGTAGCTGTTAGTCTGGAGGGTTTCACTGGGAATGGCTGTATGTGAATGTAGCTGTTAGTCTGGAGGGTTTCACTGGAATTGGCTGTGTGTGGATATAGCTGTTAGTCTGGAGGGTTTCACTGGAATTGGCTGTGTGTGGATATAGCTGTTAGTCTGGAGGGTTTCACTGGAATTGGCTGTGTGTGGATATAGCTGTTAGTCTGGAGGGTTTCACTGGAATTGGCTGTGTGTGGATGTAGCTGTTAGTCTGAAGGGTTTCACTGGAAATGGCTGTGTGTGGATATAGCTGTTAGTCTGGAGGGTTTCACTGGGAATGGCTGTGTGTGGATGTAGCTGTTAGTCTTGAGGGTTTCACTGGAAATGGCTGTGTGTGGATATAGCTGTTGGTCTGGAGGGTTTCACTGGAAATGGCTGTGTGTGGATATAGCTGTTGGTCTGGAGGGTTTCACTGGAAATGGCTGTGTGTGGATATAGCTGTTAGTCTGAAGGGTTTCACTGGGAATGGCTGTGTGTGGATGTAGCTGTTAGTGGAAACATTCGTCACCCCTTCACTCATTCTCTCACTTGTTTGATTGTCCAGGAGCGGCTACAGAGGGAGAAGGAGCTGGAATACTTCCGTGAGTGGGAGATGCAGGAAGATACGGTATGCACACTTTGTAGAATTTTAACAGGGCCTGCATGTTCACTTGTTATAACTTTTACACAATTCTACACATTCTCTGTTAGGGCTTTGACAGGATTCTACACATTCTCTGTTAGGGCTTTGACAGGATTCTACACATTATCTGTTGGGGCCTTCACAGGATTCTACACATTCACTGTTAGGGATTTCACAGGATTCTATGCATTCACTGTTAGAGCTTTCACTGGATTTTACACATTCACTGTTAGGGCTCTGACAGGAGTCTACACATTATCTGTTAGGGCTTTCACAGGATTCTACACATTCACTGTTGGAGCTTTCACAGGATTCTACACATTCACTGTTAGGGCTTTCATAGGATTCTACACATTCACTGTTAGGGCTTTCATAGGATTCTACACATTCACTGTTAGGGCTTTCACAGGATTCTACACATTCAATGTTAGGGCTCTGACAGGATTCTACACATTCACTGTTAGAGCTTTCACAGGATTCTACACATTCACTGTTAGGGCTTTCACAGGATTCTACACATTCACTGTTAGGGCTTTCATAGGATTCTATACATTCACTGTTAGGGCTTTCACAGGATTCTACACATTCAATGTTAGGGCTCTGACAGGATTCTACACATTCACTGTTAGAGCTTTCACAGGATTCTACACATTCACTTTTAGGGCTTTCACTGGATTCTAGATATTTACTGTTAGGTCTTTCACAGGATTCTAGGACCCGGGTTCAATTCCTGACATGGGCACAATGTGTGAAGCCCATTTCTCGTGTCTCCCACCGTGATATTGCTGAAATATTGCTAAAGGCGTAAAACCATACTCACTCACAGGATTTCACGCATTCACCAAATATCATGGACCCTGACTCACTCACATCTGTCTGCGTATAGATAGGATGTGTGTACAAGGAAGCTGATTCTCTCACATATGTCTGTGTATAGATAGGATGTGTGTACAAGGAAGCTGATTCTCTCACATCTGTCTGTGTATAGATAGGATGTGTGTACAAGGAAGCTGATTCTCTCACATATGTCTGTGTATAGATAGGATGTGTGTACAAGGAAGCTGATTCTCTCACATATGTCTGTGTATAGATAGGATGTGTGTACAAGGAAGCTGATTCTCTCACATATGTCTGTGTATAGATAGGATGTGTGTACAAGGAAGCTGATTCTCTCACATATGTCTGTGTATAGATAGGATGTGTGTACAAGGAAGCTGATTCTCTCACATATGTCTGTGTATAGATAGGATGTGTGTACAAGGAAGCTGATTCTCTCACATCTGTCTGTGTATAGATAGGATGTGTGTACAAGGAAGCTGATTCTCTCACATCTGTCTGTGTATAGATAGGATGTGTGTACAAGGAAGCTGATTCTCTCACATATGTCTGTGTATAGATAGGATGTGTGTACAAGGAAGCTGATTCTCTCACATATGTCTGTGTATAGATAGGATGTGTGTACAAGGAAGCTGATTCTCTCACATATGTCTGTGTATAGATAGGATGTGTGTACAAGGAAGCTGATTCTCTCACATCTGTCTGTGTATAGATAGGATGTGTGTACAAGGAAGCTGATTCTCTCACATCTGTCTGTGTTCCAGTTTCATCTCCATCAGGCCAAGCTGAGGTCCAAGATCAGGATACAGGACGGACGAGGTGAGTGTCGTCAGGGTCAAATGCTTGGTATCATTGCTTAGCTGAATTGATTACAGATCTTAATTAGTAGAAAAATACTCATATGATTATATATTTCATTTTTTTACATGATAATAATTGATACCTCGTACAGTGATCCCTCGCTACAACGCTACCTACGGGGTCCAAATAATTGATGAGCGTTATAGATGATCAGCGATTTAACGAAGGTCGAGTCGTAGGTGGGAGATGACCAACAAAACAGTATACATGCTCTGCCTACCTAACACGATCTACGTTGCACACTTCAGAGTTTCAAAAAGGATTAGAATAGAAGTTATTTATGATTCATAGTGTAAAAAAAGATTTATCGAGTATGATATGCGCTTTAAAAAAAACAATGCATCGTATCCCTTCAGGTGAAGAAGCAGGTAGGTAGATCTATAACAAACTTGGTAAATAAAAGTATGAAATTTGATATAAAACATCACTAGACATGATGATTTACCATTTAAAATGTATTTCCTGCTCTCAAAGGCATTGTTTTATATGCAGAGATTAAGATTACCGTGTGTATTTTCACGTAAACTAAGCCGGAAATAGCAATCAGCTGTGCACACGTTTCCTCCCAATCTACCGGTGATTCAGTTAAAACGTACCCAATGATACAACTTTAAAGAAATTTGATGCAAAGGTTGGAAGAAATTGTATCTGAAATTATTATTCATCAGGAATAATATTTTCAAATATCGTGTTATTTTAGTTGCAGCTTCCACTATATATACTTAAAATTATAAGAACCACAAGCATAGCACTTTGGTACAGATTGTATGCAGGATATTTTTTGACGTATGGAATGATTTTGACCAGTCACCGTAGGGACCTCCCGCGCAACATGTATTTCGATTGCAAAAATGTTATGTTGACATTTAATTGTCAAACTGCCTCAAATATGACTTTTAGCGGGTCATGGTACGGCATTTATGATATGTGTATCCATTCTCTTGCAACTAAAGTTCGTTTCAAGGCGTCAATGGTGGTAATCTGACTGTGGTTGCTGTTAATAACGGTGAGTTGTGCGATCTACCGATCATTTCGCATACGATTTCGCCGAAATTATTGTAAACATTATTATAATTATTGAATGAAATTTTGAATATAATTAAAAAAAATATATTGCAAAACATTAGTCCAGATAAACAATGAACATTTTATTTTTTACCAGATATTAGGATAATAGGATAAAACTGTGTACTATAGTTGGGATTTGTTGACTGGTATTTCCGGTGTTACGTGATTGCGGTGATCAGCTGATAATGTTTTCTGAGATAGGGAAAACATCGTGTCATTGGAAAACTTGAGCTTATTGAAAATGTTAATAAATTTTGGGAGCCATGCTTTACCACGCGCTATAACTGAGTTAGCGCTATATTGAAGGGCGCAATAACAAATGAACACTGTATTTCTTTTCTTCTTCTTTTTTTTATTGATTTAAGTATGTTTTCTAATATAGAAGGTGTTGTTTTTTCAGCTAAGCCTATTGATCTCCTGGCCAAGTATATCAGTGCAGAAGATGATGAGCTTGCCATAGAGATGCATGAGCCCTACACCTACCTCCATGTAAGCAGACCCCTTACCTTGTGTGTTCTTGTAATGCCTGGACTATTACTGAAGGAGCTCATTGTTGCATTGAATGATGTTGATATATGTTCTGCTGTGTATACACCTGTGACTGTAGGGTCTGACTTGCTACACCTGTGACTGAAGGGTCTGACTTGCTACATCTGGGACTGAAGGGTCTGACTTGCTACACCTGTGACTGTAGGGTCTGACTTGCTACATCTGTGACTGTAGGGCCTGACTTGCTACATCTGTGACTGTAGGGCCTGACATGCTACATCTGTGACTGTAGGGCCTGACTTGCTACACCTGTGACTGTAGGGTCTGACTTGCTACACCTGTGACTGTAGGGCCTGACTTGCTACATCTGTGACTGTAGGGTCTGACTTGCTACATCTGTGACTGTAGGGCCTGACTTGCTACATCTGTGACTGTAGGGCCTGACATGCTACATCTGTGACTGTAGGGCCTGACATGCTACATCTGTGACTGTAGGGCCTGACATGCTACATCTGTGACTGTAGGGCCTGACATGCTACATCTGTGACTGTAGGGCCTGACATGCTACATCTGTGACTGTAGGGTCTGACTTGCTACATCTGTGACTGAAGGGCCTGACTTGCTACATCTGTGACTGTAGGGTCTGACTTGCTACATCTGTGACTGTAGGGCCTGACTTGCTACATCTGTGACTGTAGGGCCTGACATGCTACATCTGTGACTGTAGGGCCTGACATGCTACATCTGTGACTGTAGGGTCTGACTTGCTACATCTGTGACTGTAGGGTCTGACTTGCTACATCTGTGACTGTAGGGCCTGACATGCTACATCTGTGACTGTAGGGTCTGACTTGCTACATCTGTGACTGTAGGGTCTGACTTGCTACATCTGTGACTGTAGGGTCTGACTTGCTACATCTGTGACTGTAGGGTCTGACTTGCTACATCTGTGACTGTAGGGTCTGACTTGCTACATCTGTGACTGTAGGGTCTGACTATCACGGATCTGGAGGATCTGTTGGAGGACATTAAGGTCTACCTGGAACTGGAACAGGGGAAGAACACAGACTACTGGAGAGACATCGTCACGGTGACAGAGGATGAACTAAACAAGCTTCGCAAGCTGGATGCTAGCACAAGAGGTTAGAGTCTACTTAGATAACTTGGCCTTGATCTGAAAATTTCATTGCCATGTGTATTGATATGTGTTTTTGGTTTATGGATGTTAAACCCTAAATAAACATGAATAGATGCCAATGTAGAGTAAAGCTTAATAATTTGTACATTTATCCATGAGACAGGAAATCTGTCTTGGACTCCTCGCTACAGTGTGAAGCCGGTCCTAGGCAGGCCTTTCAGCAAGATGACTAGTATCATTAAGGGAGTCGGTAAAGTACGGTTATAACAAACTCAAAGGGACCACTAATTTTAGTTTGTTATAACCGTAGTTCATTATAAACATATATACAGCAAATGGCCAGGACCAAAAAAACAATTTGTTGTATATGCCAGTTCGTTATATCCGCCAGTTCGTTATAAACATAGTTTACTGTATTACATTCTGCCCTGGGGGCGGTCGGGTAGCCTAGTGGTTAATGTCGTTGCCCATCACGCCGAAGACCTGGGTTCGATTCCCAACGTACGTACAATGTGTGGAGCCCATTTCTGGTGTTCACTGCTGTGTTATTGCTTGGATATTGCTAAAAGCGGTGTAAAGCCATACTCACTCACTCACATTCTGCCCTGAGAAAACCACCACACTGCGTTTCAGAATATTTTGGTGACCGTCGGGAGGGCATCAACACAGCTGTGACCAGCGAGGTCAGCAACATCTTCAAGGGCAAGACCACGAATCAGCTGAAGCTTCTGGAGCAGCAGATCAGGGAGAAGCTCAGTGGTGGAGAGGGGATTGATATTGGTGAGTTTTCCTTCTCTCCATGCATGGCCTCTGAATCTTACAAAGCATAGTGCGGCTGGCCCTTTCTTAACCAGCCACCCTACATTCAGCAGGACCCATGAAGATCCAGGGTAGGATAGCACCTAAGCAACCCATGCTAGCCGTAAAAGGCGACTATGCTTGTTGTAAAAGGCGACTATGCTTGTTGTAAGAGGCGACTATGCTTGTTGTAAGAGGCATCTTTGGGATCGGGTGGTCAGACTCGCAGAATTTTTGATGCATGTCATTGTATTCCAATTGTATAGATTGATGCTCATGATGTCAATCACTGGAATTTCTGGTCCAGACTTGATTATTTAAATACATCTGTCATATAACTGGAATATTGCTGAGTGCTGCGTTAAACAAAAACAAACCAACATTCAGCAGTCTGTCATTGTCTGCAAGTATCCAATACATTCTGTACACGATTGAAAGCAGTAATAATGTCATCTTAACTTCATTTTTCTGACTTCCAGGGTACACACCTAAATCATCTGATAGTAACAAAGGTTCCTTCCTAGCCTTGGCATGTATTTTGTTATTTTGAATTACTTTGTATCTTTATGATGTGACGTCTGAAGGATCATAATCTGACACTGACCGATCAGCATCAGCAAGATACTTGTGCCATGGCACAGTAGCTCGCCATGTATTAGCATAGTGTAGATGCTGGATCCCTGTGTTCCAGGTTACTGGGAATCCCTGCTTCAGCAGCTGAAGGCTCACATGGCTCGGACGAGGCTCCGGGAACGTCATCAGGATGTCCTCAAGCAGAAGCTCAATGCCCTGAAGAGAGAGGTAAACATTCAGTGTCTACATTCACATCATGCCACTCACACTGAGCAGAAGCATTCCTTCATTTTAAACTGAAGTAAAGCTTTCCTGGGCCCTAAACCAGAGACTGCAGAGGAGTGGCCTCATGGTGCTAATTTTCAAAATATCTGTGGGATTGATTTCAAATAATTATGTGGTATGATTTATATAAATATATAGTTTTATGAACATATATATGAGCTCCTAGCCAGACAAGTCTGGCGCTTGGCATTAAGGGGCTAAAACAAGGACTGGTCGGCTCAGAGTCAGTACACTGTGTCTGAGTGGGGTATTCATGTTAAACTGCGGCATGGTATCTCAGTGAGCTAGCACTATAAATCGGCATCAGTCCGGACTTGTACAAGCAGCCACACAAACACACACACACGTACATGCACGTCGCTATATAAGTACAATTATCTTGGACGCGACGTTAAACCCCATTTCACCTCACCTCACCTAGCCAGACGAATTATTGATTTTAGATATGAGCTGAATGAACATGCTAAAGTGTATATGCGAAGACAGGGCTGAAGTAAGATATCTCAAAGTGTAAGGTCATGCTTGTATTACTATATAGTCTTTTCACAAGATGCATTTCTGAAGACACTTATGGGTAGAGGTACTGTTATTATGCATGATTTGGTGGACACCATTCATGCAACAATCGCATTAAAACAATCTGAGGACATCCCTTTACAGATCCGTTCGGAACAACCTTTGACAGTCACTGGCTTGACAACTGAATCAGTCACAATCATCTTCTATTTCTTGCTTGAGGGGGATAAACATTTGAACGGAAGATATTTTGCATTGCCATACAATCTAGGCCATATATTAGACATTTCAGAATGCTGCTTTCTGACTGGCTAATGCCGACTTCATGACAGTCATTTCATTGGTCAAAGTTAGTGAAAAGTCATTCTGATGTGACCTACAATGGGATGTCCTCAGATCTTTGTTTTTGTAGTAGCAAGATCTGAGATCTGATTTGAATGAGATTGTTCATGCAACTGCTGTCAGCCATCTTCCTATGCCCTCTCTCTATTAGTACTTCTTCACTTGTAATTCTACTTCCAGCAAGGAATAGATTCTGATCCACTTTTTCCTGTGCTGCAAGATGATTCGAGAGGCAGCACATCAGATCAGTCTTCACCAGCTGTCCATCGGTCATCTCCCGCTCCTGGGGTCCATAGGTCATCCCCTGCAATGTATCGAGCCTCCCCCGTCCCCCAGAGGTCGTCCCCTGCCCCCCAGCCAGGCACCTCATCCCAGTCCGAGGAGCAGCCCAGGGTGGAGGAGGACCCAGGGGCCGAGAGGCAGGACAGTGAGGACGAGGAGGAAGATGGAGAAGAGTATGTGTTCCGGACATTTCACAAGTTTTCTTTCCTTTCACTGCTGAATTGTGGAACAAAATTATGATTATATTTGCGATGATGTACAGCAACACTGACTGTTACAAGTTCACAATCCCCGTGAAGATTCCTGGGTAGTATAGGTCTTCAGCAAACGTAAACGGTGACTATGCTTGTCGTAAAAGGTGACTAACGGGATCGGGTGGTCAGGCTCGCTGACTTGGTTGATGCATGTAATCGATCCCAATTGCGTGGATTGATGCTCATGATATCAATCACTGGATTGTCTGGTCCAGACTCGATTATTTACAGACCGCTGTCATATAGCTGGAATATTGCTGAGTGCGGCGTTAAACAACAAACCAACCTGTTTCACAAAGTGATCTTAGCGATACGACTGTCATAAGTCTGTTTTAAATTACGGGAGTTACTATCATCTTAGCGCTACGACTGTCATAAGTCTGTTTTAATGTATGGGAGTTACAATCATCTTAGCAGAAAGAAAGCTCTGTGGAACGGACCCCTGTTCATTTCTGATTGGATACTGACAGCTTCCTCTTTCATAAGATGCATATATATTTTATTTTGAGCAGTTGCATTTTTGTGATTTGGGTAGCCAGTATGGAGGGTTTAGGCAAACACAACCACAGAGTTCAATTCCCAACATGGGAACAAAGTTTGCAAGTCATTCTTTCGTTCCCAGTTCGTGAAAAACGCTGAGGTTACCTGAAAAGCTTTTTCCTTGCTCCCTGTGTGAAAGTGAAAGATATTTGACTACACTGACTTTCTGGACCGCCTCAGTCATCTAGCGGATATAGTTAGGATCTGGGAAGCAGGAGGTCTGTGCTAGCACTATAAAACGTACCTAGTACAGACGAGAACAAGCAGATACACACGCAAGCATGCACAGACGCACACACTCACACACATCACTATTTCAGTGCAACAGTCTAAAAGAAGACCTTAAACCTCATTTCACCTCCCCTGACTTTCTGGCAGCTCGGAGCCACTCATCACTGAAGCTGACCTGGAGGAGGAGGCAGTGGACGACTACACCGCCGGCAGCTACAGCCCCAGGCTGCTTCGCAACAATGAGCTGGACATCGACGCTGTGGTGTACGACCCAGTGGACGACCTCAAGAAACTGGATCTTGCTCGGGATCAAGTGCGGACAACAGGCCGAGTTAGGGTATGTTATGAAGGATATTGTCAAGTAACATTCAGGTGTTAGGGTATGTTATTAAGGATATTGTCGAGTAGGATTTAGGAGTTAGTGTATGTTATGAAGGATATTGTTGAGTAGGATTTAGGAGTTGTGTATGTTATCAAGGATATTGTCGAGTAGGACTCAGGATCAAGTGTTCTCCACCGCCTGAGTTGGGGTATGTTATTAGGGAAATTATAACATTGAACAGTAAATCTGAAGCAGATCTTGACAGATTATACATATTTATTCCTGTATGCAGTCTCGAATAATACAGCTGTTATGAAATGTGCCTTTATGTTTCGGTGCCAAATTATATCTTGTGAATGTCCAATGGATATATAGAATGACACATCTGGGGCTTCCAGGGAAGACGCTGCTTGCTGCCATGTTTATGTGATGATGAGAATGCAAAGTGTCACGCTTGCGGAGGAGATAAGTCATATGTGCTCATTCTTTAGTCCCTCAGTTTTTATTCTTGTATTTTTGCCTTCAATTCAGCTTGATGGAGAGACGCTGTTTGAGAAGAAGGCCCGAGAGGGGATGAATGATGACGAGGCCCAGTTCAGTGTTGAAGTGACGTTAGATAAGCAGGCTTTCCTGTGGTCCGACAAATACAGGCCACGGAAACCACGATTCTTCAACAGAGTCCACACGGTGAGTACCAGGGGATGTTATTGATGTAACTCTAGACAGACCCCGTAAAGAGACCGGGAAGAATTTGTCTTCAGAAACCCATGCTTGTAAAGGATGACTAACGATCCAAGTGGTCAGGCTCGCTGTCTTGGTGGATGAGTGTCATCGAATCCCAGTTGCGTAGATTGATGCTCATTATGTCAATCCCTGGATTGTCTGGTCCAGACTCAGTTATTTGCAGACTGCCACCATGGTTGGAATTTGCCGAGGTCGGCATTAAACATCAAGCCATCCAACAAACTAGACAGATGGTGCAAATCTCACCCAACTGGACTGGATTGTTGGAGGAAAACATGATGAAAGATCTGGAAGCATAGAATATAATCTTGATTGATTTTGTGTGTGGGACTTCCGGCCGTATCCCCCTTAAAAATATATATGATTAAAAGAATTGAGCTTCAATGCATACATAAAAACTTGGATACGGGCAGAAGTCTTTCTATGACTTTATGTCACTTTAATTGAGTATCATTGGTGAAACCTGTATCAGCAAGAGACATGTTCATGCTGTCAGATTTGCCATCCACCCCTTTAAAATGCTGACAGATTCAAAATTACAAAATATTTGCAGTATTATAAGCATATTCAGTTCAAATGTATATTTGTCATGATTGCGTAACTATCCAGGTGAGCGCTACAGGCCCTACAGGCCTCTTGTTTAAATAAGACATGTTCTGGTTATTGTTACATACAATGGTGTAAATGCTGTAGCATCAGTCTCGTTGGCCTTTGACATGTTTTAGGTAGGAATATTCCCACAGTGATGAACATGTCTTCTTTGTAGGGTTTCGAATGGAACAAGTACAATCAAACCCACTACGATATTGACAACCCACCGCCAAAGATTGTCCAGGGTTACAAGTTCAATGTAAGTAGATCAATGTCATAATACGTCTTCCTCTTGTATCAATGAGCCCATAATTACTTAATTAGGGTATTGTCAGGTGTAAATTCATAATGATCGACACATCAATGAATTGGGACACCACTAATCATACATCTGTTTAAAACTGACACTGAAGTATTCTCTATGTGTAATAAGTTGATAGGGAAGTCTGTTCTATATGTAATACGTTGACAGTGAAGTATTCTCTATGTGTAATAAGTTGATAGGGAAGTCTGTTCTATATGTAATACGTTGACAGTGAAGTATTCTCCATGTGTAATAAGTTGATAGGGAAGTCTGTTCTATATGTAATACATTGACAGTGAAGTATTCTCCATGTGTAATAAGTTGATAGGGAAGTCTGTTCTATATGTAATACATTGACAGTGAAGTATTCTCCATGTGTAATAAGTTGATAGGGAAGTCTGTTCTATATGTAATACGTTGACAGTGAAGTATTCTCCATGTGTAATAAGTTAATGGGTAAGTCTGTTCTATATGTAATACGTTGACAGTGAAGTATTCTCCATGTGTAATAAGTTGAAAAGGGAAGTCTGTTCTATATGTAATATGTTGACAGTGAAGTATTCTCCTTGTGTAATAATGACAGTGAAGTATTCTCCATGTGTAATAAGTTGATGGGGAAGTCTGTTCTATATGTAATAAGTTGATGGGGAAGTCTGTTGTATATGTAATACTGGGGAAGTCTGTTCTATATGTAATGTGTCTGTTGTATTGACCAAGCTATTTCCCTCCACACAGATATTCTACCCAGATCTCATTGACAAGTCAGCAACACCAGAATACACAGTGGTAAGTCCTCGTGCCGAATATGAATCATTTGTTGGATACCCTCTGCATACCCTGTTTGGAGGAGACGTGTCACCAGGTATCGTTTATGCTGCCCACGAAACACAGTATCACTAAGTGTCGCACATCAGTTCCCATATTAAAGCTCTCAACAGATAAATGTGACATCTTTTCGCCTATCAATGTTTCCGTCTTTCACTCCACTAACTGCATGTTGTATCCGTTTCTTTATTTGACTATGTGTGGGCCAATGATACAGGTCACAGATGCAAATATTTGAGGTAATAATGTCTTGGATGTAAAATGGAAGAAATGCAGAGTATAACCTCAACTTGTTCCTGCATTTGATGAGCATCATGGAATCTAAAAGTGGAAACTTGACACATTATTTTATCACTGAATTGTAACAAAACATTTTTCTATTTCAACCTAAAATCAGTGATTAGTCGGTAAGATTTCTGTGCTGTGAACTATTAACTTACTAAGCACACAAGTTGCATTCGGAGGCCTGTTTTTTCCATACCACCATGGCACTCAGACCAGCTTCTTACTCAGATTCCCAACAGTGATAATATGTAATGAAACATTTTACATTATTATTATTATTATTATTATTATTGGTAGTTTGATATTTATCAACAGTCTTGTCCCCTTGACGTAATATAGGTGTAAAGTAGTATGTGCCTGTGTATTGCATAACCGATTCAACTCTTCCTTGACCAGACTCCCTGCGATGACAACAAGGACTTCGCCACTCTCAGGTTTCATGCTGGACCACCCTATGAGGTAAGTGTTCTGTACGATCGGATGAAGCTGGGACCTAAATTCTCATAAAGCTTCCTAATAATCAACGAAATGTGTCCAGGGTGCCTGTTTCAGAGTTTGTAAAAACTATGTTCCCCAAGTACATTTGGCTGCTTTGTAGTGTAGTCTCTATTATTGACCAACACATGAAGCCACAGACTTGTTCCAGCGAGTGATCAGACCAATGACAATCACAATATTTCCTGTGCAACACATGGCTTCGTGGCCCCCTAACCTACACCTTGCTTCAGTGTCAGGCAAAGACAGGCTTCACATAACGTGCATTAACAGAGTAGGGCTAATTTGATTTTTGTGAGTCATACATTGTCTCATTTCATTGTCTCACTAAAAACAGAAACACGTCACTATAACATAGCATCTGTGGGTATTCATGGGTAGTAGGGGAACATAATGTTTACAAACTTGTGACATGGATATTTTCAAAGTAAATATCAGACATCATGAATACATGCCTCCAAGACATATTCTAGACATTTATGGTGGCTTTTGGGGAAAAAGTTGTCCATGTATCTGATGAATTGTTGACCGTTGTAGGACATAGCCTTCAAGATTGTCAATCGCGAGTGGGAGTATTCGTACAAGCGTGGGTTCCGATGTCAGTTCCAAAACAACATTTTCCAGCTGTGGTTCCACTTCAAGAGATATCGGTACCGAAGATGAACAGGGACTTCAGCCTGTGACGTCACCACCAACACCATCGGCATCATCTGTATATATGTCACCCTGTAGATAACACTATTTTATCCTGTGTAAATAAACTCAAACTTGTAATCCTTGTTCTGGGTGTTTTTGTATCCATATCACTGAGGAATAGTGTATGAAAAGGAAAATAGTTGGCGATGGTTATTTATATTTTGGTATTTTAGCCTCTGCTGTTCATTTTGATTGGGGAAAATAGCACAACTTCATCTTATTGACAATAGCCCTCTCACAGTTTTGTCCTGATAGATGGTCTGCATGTGCAGTTGGCAGAAACATCTAGTACTGATTGAGTATTCCAGATGTGTTAGACAGCGGAGACAGAATGGATTTTGTTTGTTTGTTTGTTGTTTAAAGCTGAACTCAGCAATATTCCAGCTATATGATGGCAGTCTGTAAATAACTGACCAGACAATCCAGACATCATGAGCGTCGATCCACGCAATTGGTATATACAATGACATGCATCAACCAAGTCAGCGAGAATGACCACCCGATCCTGTTAGTCACCTCTTATGACAAGCATGGGTTTCTTAAGACCTATTCTATCCCGGATCTTAACAGCTCTGACAGAATTGAAGTGTCTCAACAACTCTTTAGAGACATTTCTGATTAACTAAGGACATTGAACATATTTTTTCATAAAATTAATTGGCCAAGGCTACCCAAACTACTGAACAGGTTATGGTACAGTATTGGAGCCCGACTGCAATACATGGTCAGAGGACCTCTGCTGATAGGTTGAACCAGGGGTCTGGAAAATTTAAAATCCCAATCAGACATTTGCATTTAGGCCACGCCCCCATCAAATAGCGTATTTTAGTACGACTTTTCACACACATTACAAGTTGTTATGTATTCATAATATCATGAATTATGAATTGTTTCAATTTAAATTGTTTAATTCACCGGACAATTAAAAACAAATAATATCACTTTAGATATACATGGAAAACATACGTTTGTTTCTGTCATAATAACGATCTGTTAACGTAGTGAACGATCTAATTAATATTCAGGAGTTATATTCATATACCGTTGAACTCAGAGAGAATATGTTTAATCTCGAACCTTCAGAGTGACTTCAGCTATTTTAAAGCTACCTGTCATCAAGGCCAGGCTAGCCAAACATTGTTGCATCAATGCCGTCTGGTTGTGATTCACCTAAAGTCAGCTGGGCCCTATATTGTGACCACCAGATCCTCATGCTGCTTGGTTCTTGCACCAAGCAATGAGTGAGTTGGGCCGCGCCTAACAGTATTCCAGTTATAACGCGACGTGTCAGCTTAATGTGGAGGAAAGCCCGAAGTGATGCAGGTCTCAGACGTTAACCACTTCGGTGAAACCCACGAGCATGGGTATGGTGCTGACAAACCTAGAAACATAATCGTGGCGAACCGGGATTCAAACCCACAATCATAGGTTTCTGGTGTGCCCAAGGGACGCAACTCTGGCCCTCAGACGACTGGGCCACCCGTGCCCCTGCCCCAAGCAATCGGTACTGGGACCTACTCTGCTCCAGAATTCCCACAAGCTTCACATATAATATGATTTAAAGACAACAGATTACAAAACTGTGATATCTGATTTATTGTCCATGTCTATGAGCTTCCATTCCTTCATACAAAAGCTCACATTGTTCAAGCAATGACAACAGGGGCCCTGCGTTGTAGGGGAACAGTTGCTGACTCGACAGTCTCTCAATTCTCAATCCAACTCGGATGAGTTCACTCATCACACTCTCCACACACTGTAAATCACATGACATTACACTGCCCCCTGGTGGCAGGGCCAAAGTGTTGAGTGATGTATGATGTACACTGTCTGATGTGGCTTCACAGCATGGGTTATTTAGACATGGACTCTCTGATAAGGACCTCCCACAAGGGTTTTCATGAAGCTCGTCCCCTGAAACACTTAACGAGGTAGTTTGTTTGGGTTTGACAACAGGTGGCACTGTTCCAGGGGTCAACATGACCACCTGTGTCAGTGTTGTGGCAGAACATATGTCTCCATCATCACCATCATCACTGTCACTGTATGTGGTCAGATAGGACAACCCACTACAGTGTACTCTTGATTGTGTGAGACTAGGTTGTGGAGAAGGTTGTGCAGGAGATGGACGTGCAGGAGTTTGCTGTGTAAGAGATGGACGTGCAGTAGTTTGCTGTGCAAGAGATGGACGTGCAGTAGTTGGTTGTGAAGGAGAGGATGTTATAGCTCCTGAACATACAGTCAATGTTTTGCTGCTTTCTGAGCTTACATATTCACCATCCCTACCATTTGGTTGGCCTATCTTTACTGAGTTCTGTAAATATTTGTTCATATCCTTTGCAAACTGAGAATGGTGATCTGATATACTGCTATACGCCTCGTGTGATGATTGGTCTGACAATCTGGAAGCATCACGTCCACTCAATTTAATAGCCACGAGTTCTTCCTTGGACACACAGAATCTAAGATGACACGCTGTTACAAACTTGTCCCATTCACACACGAGACACTTTAGGTAACACAGGAAGTAGAGCAGGAAGCAAGTCTCTGGGGAGGTCAAGAGGTCGACCAGGACCATGTGATCGTTGGACTCCATGAACTCGAGGAAGATGGGATGAGGGTTGACTTGGTGTAGCAGAGTCGAATCTGGGCTCAATCTGGGGAAGGAAGAATACCCCAGTTATGATCAAGATCTACAATTCTGTAGTAATGAAAATGCTTATTTAATTCAATTTAAATGCTAAACAATACAGTGGGTTGGGTGTGAACAGTATTCCAGGTATATCACTGTATATCAGCTTATTGTGGGGTAAAAGCCGGAAGTGATGCAGGTCTCTTCTGAATCCCACAGGCATGAGTATGGTGCTGACAAACCAGGAATCATAATCAAGGCCAATCTAGGATTCAAACCCATGATCATCATCAAGTAAACTCCGCAAAATGGAGACTGTGCCACCATTGTCCCTGCTTAAGAAAGGCCACTCTGTTCTTTTTTACTTTCCTTATGGATCCACTGACTGTATTTTGTTGAAATGGAGAAAAACAATAATTCAGAATTTACTCTCTAGTTTATCCAACCGATAAGCTGATAGCATATTGAACCCCAAAAATATAACTTAACAAGGACCCATTGAAGTTGACACATATAAAATATGGGAATTAAAAAAAACTGTTATGGAGCAGTTTCCTGCTTGACCCTATTTTTATTTTTTTATACCAACCAACTTGTAGTGAAGTGGAACAGAAAAACTTAATTTTTTTTAAAATAATATGAAAAAAAATGGAATTGCATTTTTTTATTATCCCCCTGCTACCAACAGCTATTTTGTTGTAAGAAATCTGTAAAGAAGTAAATATAAAAGTATGGCCTAAACAAAGTATTAAAGCCCCTTTCTCTTGTTTGGTCCTGCTATCAGTCACCTCTACAAAGCTGTTGTTTTGATTTTGTTTTTATATTTTACGCCGCACACAGCAATATTCCAGCTTTCTATAAATAATTGAGTCTGGACCAGACAATCCAGTGATTGATGTCATGAGCATCGATCCACGCATTTTGGATACGATGACATGCATCAACCAAGTCTGCGAGCCTGACCACCTGATCCCATTACCTCTTACGACAAGCATAGTCGCCTCTAGTGACAAGCATGAGTTGCTGATGACCTACTCTACACCGGATCTTCACAGGTCAGAGCTGTACTCGTAGTGATAATAGTGTATATCCCTGTGCCTGGTGCTCACTACAAAGCTATGGCAGCTAGTGGGCCCAGGGTATTGATCATAATGGAATGAAGATGTAATACACCCGATTATAAGGATGACTATAGAAATACAGTGCACTATATTCATAACAAACACAAATATAAGGAACTGGTTTTTTTTATTCCCGGCCATTTGTTGTATATATGCTGCATATATACTTATAATGATTTACAGTTATAAAGAACTAAAATGAGTGGTCACTTTGAGTTTGTTAAAACCGTAGTTGACTGTGTATCGCTAAAACGAGATCTCCAGCACTACCTCAATGTGTTCAGGTAGATGTCCAACAAACACAGCAGCACCTCTAACCACGCATCGTCCTGGTCCCCGAACACCAGGGGGAGCCACTGCAGGTTTTGGGCTTCAAATGTCTTTTGCATGAGCTGAGATATGCAGTTGAGACAGGTGGATACCAAATGCCGGCCTTTACATAAAGAAAAACATTATAACATACAATCTCCTGTTGAGATAATATTATACATCTATTGTAACATACGTTGTTTTTTTGTTAAGTTGTTGTTTGTTGTTTAACGCAGCACTCAGCAATATTCCAGCTAAATGATGGTGGTCTGTAAATAATCGAGTCTGGACCAGACAATTCAGTGATTAATATCATGAGCATCGATCCACACAATTGGGATCGATGACATGCATCAACCAAGTCAGCGAGCCTGACCACCCGATCCCGTTAGTCGCCTCTTACGACAAGCCTAGTCGCCTCTTACGGCAAGCATGGGTAGCTGAGGACCTATTCTATCCCGAATCTAATTGGCGCCAGTATTACTCTGAATTTCCTACTTGCTCCTTCATGACAGCACACTGGACGTTCAAGAAGGTGTTTAGGCATGCCCTTTTGCATCTAAGTGCGCCAACACATAGAAATGTGCTGATCAATCTCATCCACTGTGCCATGATCGAGACAGTAAGCAGTCTAAAAGTTTAAATACCATTTTCACTTTCTGGATCGCCTGGTTACGTTTATGAATCCTACTGTGAACTAAACATGTTCATATGTTCACTGGTGGCCCCGTCGACTGAGGTGACGCAATTCGCTGTACAGAGATGCATCCCCTTGGCACGCCAGGAACCTATGATTTGGGGTTTGAATCCTGGTTCGCTTCAGTTGTTTCCAGGTTTGTCAGCACCATATCTGTGCTCATGGGTTTTACCGCAATGGTAAACACCGAAGACCTGCGTGACTTCGAGCTTTCCTCACACATTAAGCTCACACAATAAGCTGACACACTGTGATTAACTGGAATACTGTTCAACATGTTCAAAGCTGCGTTAACCAAACTCACTCACTCACTCATATTCACTTCCCATATCTTTAAGCAAAGCACAATTATAACTCACTTCATATAATAAACATCATGTTGTATATCCCCATATAAGTGTAGTGTCGCCAAGACTTATTTAAAGGACGCCATTATGATACAGAACGTGTCATTGGCACTCTCATACAAGGATCTCTGAACCTTGAACACTACTTTGACAGCAGTCTGAAATCAGACCTGGGCCACAGACCAGTGGTCAATAGCATGAGCAACAACTCACACCGACACACACTATCAGCTCTCGCCTGAAGACAGTCATTCCTAGTGGTCTGCCAGCCAAAGTCTGTCATACTTCACAGCCATTTGTTCCAACTAATTCCAAATTTAAATTGTTTGGTACAAAGAGCATTTGTAATGGAAATATATTCTTACAAGTATTCCTCACAGATACTTGTTGCCATACACATCCAGATAATGAGTGAGTGAGTCTTTTAAAACTTAATGTCACATCAGCATTATTTCAGCCATGTAGCAACAAGAACAAGTTTCTATATGTATACAATTGAGACATGAATACAAAGTTATATTCAAAAACAAATTTGTCAAATACATTTTGGCATAACATAATCCAGATAATGATCAGGATTTGAATATTGACGATGACAAGAGATATTTTAGTAGTAAATGCCATAAGAGACAAATCATTACTTGAAACATAAACAGTATGTAATAAACCAGCCTATAGTACTGGTACTTGTTTCCAAAGGCTTTTTCAAGAAAGATACCATCAACAAAGATGATGACAAGCTCTATTGTGCTTGTGTTCAAAGGGCCATAAAACGAAATAAATATGAATTCTGCAACTTTAGACACAAGTCTGAAGCCTGAGTCTAGTAGGAGTCTGTTAGGCCTAGTAAGCTCAGAAATATTTCGTCCATATAATAACATGCACATTGACTGAAAATAATGTTGAAAGCCTAATTCAAGCCAGTAGCCTTAAAACCTAATGGCACAGATTGCATAAATGCCTCAAAGTCTTTAAAAAACAAATTGCTTACGTGCATGGACTTCTGTGGTCAATCTCACTATCATGGCACACGCTTTAAGCAAGACTAGGGTCAGCTTCCTGAGAAGAGCCAGATCTCCATTTTGACTTCGGGCCTGTGTCCCCTCAACATGGCAGCCACCAAAACACACAAAATGACAGACGAAGGGAGCAGACGTCAAGGCAGACGGGCACAACTCAGATAGCAGTTTCTCACACATTAGGCTGTAAACACTTGCGATATCCTTCCTCTCTGCAAGATGGCTGCCATAGGGGAGAAATGTGTTGAAAATATCCAGTGTCTTTTTACACAGAATTCTCCCCTCTGGTTTATTGATGCACTGCAAGGATCTTACCAGGAACTGGAGCAGATGTTCTTGGTTCGAATCCAGTAATGATCCTAAATAACTTTCTTTCAATTCTTTTTCAAATTTATGTACAAATTTGACAATTTTCTGTAATAATGTCAGAAACATGTTGAGTTCATCAATGCACTGAGGTTCTCTACATCTCAAGATAGTTTCAACATATTCAGCTTTCAATATTTTTGATGAGGTCAAATGTTGATGGCACCATGTATTAAGATCCAGGCCATGTCTGTTTGACATGAAGTGTTTCAGTAACTCCATGTTGGAGGTCCTGACGGACGCCCGCCTCGAGTTGGTCACCCCAAACATAACCTCCTCCAGGAAACACTCCCTCGTGCTCTGAAATCACAGAATATATTGTCTCATGATATCAATATGATATTTGTACTTGGAGAAAATGGATGAAAACGGATTCAACTGTGAGGGAATGAAGATTTGATGGGGAAAATCAGACCTTTTAATTAACTTCTTTTGTCCATATGTTTTCAGTTCTTTTTGGAGGGTATGGATAAATGAGTAGAGTTTTACTCCACTTTTAGCAATATGCAAATTGGTGAGGGATGTGTGTGTGGGGGGGTCTACAAATGGGCTTCACACATTGTACCATTGTGAAAAAAATGGAACCTGGGTCTTCGGCTTAAGGAGTCAATGCTTTAACCTCAAGGTTGAATATCCTCATAAACCTGATAAATATTTGAACTTATAAGAAACACTACATATTTTATGTCTGACACAGTAAATCATGCTCACATTGAAAGATGGACATTTCACCACAGCAAGAATGGCTTTGGAAGCAGTGTATTTGATGAACATATCCCTACTGTGTGACAGCTTCAGCTGCAAAAGAACAATGACACATATTTACTCTGCAATGACTCAACATAAAGAATACTATGATATAGGGGAAAAACGATACACTCAACAATACGAAACACGATACGTTTTTTATCGAAAAAAGACGATACATTTGCTAAAAGAAATTACAATGACACCCAGCTTTTTTGCTCTCAAATATCATGAAATGTTGTGTAATTTGGGATTCAAGTTCACTACTCAAAATAGTCGCTACAAACATGACCTATATATCATCGTACGTATCGTATCATGACCTTGCTGTATCGTTTCACCCCAACCATCATATCCACAAGGGTCCCCATTGGATGTGATATTTTATTGTTCGCTTTAACAAAACCCCTCCAATATTCCAGCTATATCAAACATTCAACCCATGTGGGGAATCAAACCTGGGTCTTCAGCAGGATGAGCAATCGCTTTAACCACTAGATTACCACACCACCCCTGTCCCAAGGTCCTCACAGTGATAGCCCCTTCCCGGAGCTGTCTGTACAATCGCTGCCACCAGTCAAAGCTCCTCACTGTGATGGGTGGCCACAACCAGACTTGGAGTTGAACTCGCAACCGACTGACATTATGTTTACAAACAAGCGAAGACTGTTGTAACACCGAAACAAACAAAAAGTTAAATTCAACTGGGAAATATTGTCAGTCATAAACCTTTTCAAAATGAACTATGAAACAAAAGTATAAACGTGACTACAATCGGGGTTAGAGCAAAAATGTCAAAATTCTTGTAATGGTCGAACCCACTCTGGAGGCAGCGATGTTACCGAGAGTGTAACGAAGGGGCTTGCCCCTTTTTACTGTATCAAGTTCCAGGTAGTTTCAGTGGAAATGTAGAACATGTAAAACTTTCAGATGCATGAGTAGGACACAAACCACCCTGATCATGCTATACCTGAGGTATAACAGGATCAAAACCTGTATTGCACACCTTCACAAATGTTGATAAATTCGTGGACCACATGCATGACACATAACGACAATGACCTTTGGTTTAGTTAAGCGAAATGTTCTTACTGGCATGTGGGTACGGATGGCCCAGTAGTGTAAGGCTCTGAAATTTGCTGTACAGAGTTGCATCCTCTGGGCACTCCAGAAATCTGTGGTCATGGGTTCGAATCTTGATTATATTTCAAGGTCTGCAAGCAACATACCCATGCTCATGGGTTTCACCGAAGTGGTAAACATTTAAGACCTGCTTCACTTCGGGCTTTCCTCCCACATTAAGCTGACACACGGTGATATAACTGGAATACTGTTCAAAGCTGCATTAAACCTAACTGACTCATTCTTAGTGTCTACCCGTATTCTTTCAGTAAATACCAGGTGCAAGACAATTATTGTTTTGCTTAACCATGACCACACATTCATTGTGACCTCTGTGATGTAACTGGAATACTGTTCAAAGTGGCATTAAACCTAACTGACTCACTCTTACTGGCTACCCGTATTCTTTCAGTAAATAACAGGTGCAAAACAATTATTGTTTTGCTTAATCAAGACCATACATTTCATTGTGAACTGCTGCATTAATCTTCAAACTCATAAAACTGGATTCTCACCAAAACTGTAAGAATGTTCATCTCCTTCAAATCCTCTATTAATGAATCGTCAGTGCCATTCAGGTGTACATGTCTTCTCTTGGGCACAGAGTGAACCCCTTCAGAAGACTGTCCAACATCCAGACACCCTGCCTCATGCTCAGCACACACCCCGACACCTGGGTGTCCTGTACACTGCCCCGCCCCCACCACCAGCGTCACACACGACAACATCAGCAGCGTCTCCTCTCTACATGTGTAACCAGTGTGGTCAGTTCTCACCTCACGCCCACCAGTGACCACTTGGTTACTCAAATGTACTGCTGGCTTAGGGTGCACACTGCTGTAGGGAGAGCTATCTGTTGTTTTACGTCTGTTTGTCAAGATGCAAGCATGTGGAGGCGCTCCTGGAGAGTTAGTAGGAATACGATCTCCAACTGTTCCATCCTTCAGACAAGCACCTGCTTCAGTAGCCCTAACACTATATGACAAACCAGTCAACCTTTCTGTCACACATGTAATTTGATAATTTTCACTACATTTGTCTAAAGAAAAATGCTTTGTCATATCCACATTTCCACCACCTTGACAGGTAGTGATGTCTGTTTTCAGCTGATATGGCTCCTGCAAATCACACAAGACCAAGTCTCTGAGGTGTTCCCTACTATGTGGGTCTTCATCTGTGACAAGTGTTTCAAGCAGCAGCTGCCGAAATGTCTCCTTTGATAGACCATGGTCCCTACTCTCTCGTAGAGCACAATATAAATTCTTCAGTATACAGAACCTTGACTGCATTGTCTGTCAAAATACAAGTGTTAATCATCTTAGGAATCATAATTTAACAATAATTAGAAAAATGTCAATATTTTTATCCCTCAAACATCTGACTGACACAAGGATATAAACCAAAGGTAAATCATGTCCATTCTCCATCTAGATTTAAATATTAATAATTATTTTGTGATTAAGTGTTGAGAAAACTTGGGTAAAATCAAATATACCGTATTCGACATAATAAGCGCACAGGACGCTCTCAAATTTTTAAGTAGGGGGCTCTTATTAGAATATTATTGAAAGAGTTGAAAGATAAATTTTGTGGTTTATGCTGACAGTAGGGCTGGGACGAGTCCAAATCTACTACCCGGGTATCCGGCCCCCTATTACCCGACCCTACCCGGGTACCCACGGCCACTGCAGGTCTCAAGAGTTGGGAACAAAACGTCTGATTGGGAAGTGTTTTACTGCAGCCCTGGCCAAAACTATTCAGATACATGTATCAAACGATCAGATCCTGCGTTCACAGTTGTTGACTGAAGCGTTATCTTTACTCAAACATATGCAAGTCAAAAGGAATGTGTGTATCGTTAGAAAAGAATTGCGAACATGAGCGACTTGTAGTCTAACCACTGAGCTACAGTGAGTTTTTATCATTAAACAATATATCACATGACTAACCACGGGTCCGGGTAGAGCTATGGGTACCCTTGTCCTACTCAGGACCCACCCGACCCGAGTTACCCGTCCCAGCCCTAGCTGACAGCATGAAATGTTTGTATACGACAGATATATTTTTCCAGAATTTAATTGCCCATAATTAAGGGTGCATATAACACACGAGTGCGTATTATACGCGAATAAATAAGTCTTGTGTACATTGATCAATCGGGAGGGGTGCTAATTGGGATTGTTCACTAGCCAATATCGCCGTGGGCACTTATTAGAGCGGGGCGCTTATTACATCTAATACGGTGTATGTTTACTCGTCCTCATACCCCTTCGGAGTTCGGGGTTAAAATATGTCCTTATTCCCATAGGTAAATTTATACTGGTCATAAGAGGCAACTAAATTGATCGGGTGGTCAGGCTCATCGGCGTGGATTGTTGCACACTATATCGATCGTTGGATTGTCTGGTCCATTTTCACAGGCTGCTGTCACATTGCTGAAGTGTTGCTGAGTTTGGGTGTTGTAAAATGCCATATTCAGCAATATTCCAGCTATATGACAGCGGTCTGTAAATAATCAAGTCTTGTCCAGTTACTGACCTCTTGAACATTGATCCATGCAATGTGGGAAGCAATGACTTGCCGTCAACCGAGTCACCTGCACCTGACTACTCAATCCATTTTGTCGACTCTTATGACCAGCACAAGTGTCTGGGGATAGTTCTACCCCGGATTTCCCATGGGTTGCCTATCCTAATTTCACAGACAATGTCTCAATCTAATACAAGGCACAAATTACATTTGGACCTGAAATGAAAACAGAGACTTTTCTACGATTCCAACTAAAGAGTAAATTGGAAAAATAAGTGAGATGTTTTTGTAAATAAATAGGAACAGAGAAATGTAAACACAAATTGGGAATTTTTCGTGTCATTTGTTGCAGACGTGGGCCACATACCGAGTATGTCCTGTTAAATCTCTGAAAAATGGACCGCCACTAGTATAGCCTAGAGTCACTGACGATTGATTTGTTTTGATGCTAGTCCTCGTCTGCGATTTTGTTTGTTATTATCATCAGTTACATTGTCCTGTGCTGTAGTGCATCCCATCTAGAAGCCATAGGCCCTAGATATATCAGGACCTGTGTAGGCCCCTAGCTATAGCACTATTGCTACCAGTGTCAGTGATAGTATTAACGAATACATCGTGGAGAAACGTATTTGGAGCTTTTCGGAGAAACAGTTGTTTAATAATTACATCGTTGCATATGAGAATGCCATGTTTAGTATGTTAGAAAATGAATTATCAACTCAATCAGATTCAACCACTCTCTCATGATATAGCCTATTGGTGTTGTTTCTTACCGCACGTCTACACGTAAGGGACGTCACTCTAGGTAGACCGCTGATAATGCGTCCAGCTTGTGGTTGTCACTTGTGTAAAAGTCTGTCGATCGAACCCAAAGCAGACATGTTTGTTAACTGATTGTATCAATTTTTATCTTATCTGTCATCAACATTCTATCGTTATTCAATTATCTTATTTCAGAAAGTTAGAAAATTATCAAGACGACAAATCTTATTGTAAAACATCAGGACTATATCGTCTTCCTCTTCCACTCCCGTTCGGTATGCGCGTCTCTATGTGGCGTGATTCCTAAGTTACAATGAAAATAGAACTGTAATAATATTATGAGCTAGACAGGGATATTCCTAGCTGAGCTAGACCGCAGGTCGACGTGACCTTTCACTGAGACCTAATAATACTACGCCCATCGACCTCATATAATAATAGTACAATAGTCTTTTCTCGAGGTCGTATATATACATCCCCATTAGGCTATATCCATGTAGCAGCTTGTATCAAACTTTATATAGCACAAAGATCAAGCAAATCTCTCTCTCTCTCTCTCACCAAAGATGTCGACATAACACCGGAATTTAGGCATCCCTCTCTCTCGATATTAATGATGAGCTTTGTGTTAGTTGTAGATAAGAGAATATTAAACTTATGGACATTTGGGTGTAGATAATGTTTTGAAGGAATACAGAGATGGCGTGGGTGAGTATATGCAGGGCACACTAGCAGAAAATGAAACTTCTATTTCCAGACAGTGTGCACTGAATCTAAACCTTGACATACATGACCGGAATTTACTCACGGTTACACAATGCAAATATTCTTCACACTTCAAGGTTAATGTAATATGAGAATAGAAGGACATTTTGGAGCTATTACATAAACGTCTATGCCATATTTGTTGAAAATTATCTTTCAAACGTTGAAATAACACTGAATATGTCTACATAATACCGGAATGATGTAGCCTCACCACCTCTCTCTCTCTCTCTCTCTCTCTCTCTCACTCTCTCTCTCTCTCTCTCTCGGAAGAAGAAGAAGATGTGTACATAATACCGGAATTTCATACAGAGACGATCTTTAGTGTTTATCTACAAGGACAGCAAGTCGCAACAGCATCGGAACCACACTTTTTCGAATGACGTCAACAATCTTCAGCTATGACGTCGTTTCTAGTGTGACGTCATTCCGACCTCGCGTCACAATAAGATACAAATGACGTCAACACTGCCGTCTGCATGACGGAAACAATACGTCTCGTGACGTGATATGACCCAAGGGCACATATGATTTTCATGAACCCCGATTTGTTTGCCCTCGTAGGTAATAAATATAGGATATTATGAGTGTTCATGTCATACTATCTTTACGACACGAGGGGCGGTCGGGTAGCCTAGTGGTTAAAGCGTTCGCTCGTCATGCCGAAGACCCGGGTTCTATTCCCGACATGGGTACAATGTGTGAAGCCCATTTCTGGTGTCCCCCGCCGTGATATTGCGGGAATATTGCTAAAAGCGGCGTAAAATCAAACTCACTCACTTTACGACACGAGTGTCTAAATACCGGAGTTTCGGCACGAGTATGTCAATAGTTAAATAAAGCTAGTGAAACAGATTTCCAAATGAAACAGTAGGTGTGTCTGGTCTAAATAATGAAGTTTATGCAGATAAATATATGATATGATAATTCTCATGACCAAAAAAAAATATCAAACTATTCTTTTCATAGTTTCAAAAATAAATACAAATATATGTTTACAGTCTAATTACAATACATTGTATGACATGAACACGAATGTAATGTTCTATTTATTACCGTAGAAGATACATGCATACATACATTTATTACTTGCCCGTGAAGAGATCACCCGTTTAATAAACATACAGCTGTATTACACATTGTGTAATACCAAAACGCGTGCTTTTGTACTCTCGGAACACGTTTCACGAACAAATATTGAAAGCTCTCAACATCCCTTGGCTTATTCAACGACATTGCGTGTGGAGTTGATAGATCACTGAGAGGAGCTTATGCACACTCGATGACCCCAGCAACCTTGTTGCTAGGCTGACGTCACGTGGCATTGTTTCGCCGATGGATCTTGCAACAAAATTCCACAAATTACGTCATCGGGTATTGTGACGTTATTGTAAACTTTGAGGTGCAAGGTCCGTTCCACAAGGCGATCGTATTGTAGCGCAACGACAGTCGTTAGTCTGTTAAAGTATGTGAGTTGCGATAGTCCTAGCCCTACGATAATTTTGTGAATTCTAAAGGTGGACCGTTGTTTGGAATTAAATTCATACGTTTCAACTTTTGACGTGTTTGAAGTATTATTCTGTTAAACTCAATTTGACTATGCCGTGGATCGTGTGGGTGTCAGCCTATGCATTCTCAACAGTATAATTCTAAAAACGTTATAAATGGCAAGTTATAAATAAAATACTAAACTCGCTCCCGTGTAAAACCAATTTTATGAAACTCGTGAATAGTTGTGGTATCTGACTCGCTTTCGCTCGTCAGATACCACAACTATTCACTCGTTTCATAAAATTGGTATTACACGTGAGCTCGTTTATTATTCTATATATATATATACATACATACAGCAAGTCGCAACAGCAGCGGAACCACACTTTATCGAATGACGTCAACAATCTTCAGCAATGACGTCGTTTCTAGTGTGACGTCATTCCGACCTCACGGCACAATAAGATTCGAATGGCGTCAACAATGCCGGAAACAATACAGTGTTGGCTCTAGACGTGAAAAGACCCCAGCGCACATTGGACTTTTATGAACCCCGATATGTTTGCCCTCGTAGTAAACATTAACAATAAAAAACATACACCCAATCACACCTCTCTCTCACACACACACAAAAACTCTCTCTCTCTCTCTCACCGATGTCGACAAATTACCGGAATTTAGGCAAATCTCTCTTTTTAGCTCTCTAGTAGATAGTTAGCTCTCTTTACCTATGACCTAAACCACAGGTCGCCGCGACCAGTCACTGTGACTTAACCCTCATGCACATGTTACCGACCTTTAATAGTTTTTATTCATGGCCGAACGCATTAAACGTATTTATAACCTTAATTTATGACGCTTAAAAACACCATTCGGGGGACACGTATGTTTTCTCTTGCAGGATATACGTATAGTTCCTTCCAGCCAAACCAGTCTGGGTCTAGACGTTGTAATTTGTGCCATGCGAGCAACTGAGACAATGTCTCGATGAAAGTATGTTAATCATTAACGTTTACATGATAAAATAATAAAATATGAGTCAGCAGTCAAAGTGCGTTCTTGTGTGTGCGTTTGTTAGTTTGCGCGTGCGTGTGCGTGCTTGCTTGCCCAGTCACATATCCCGTCGGAGTTTAATATTGATACCCCACTCACACAAACTGTTCCAAGTCCAGATACATTTACACCACGAAATAGGCAATTACACCATCAATCAGAACTTCAGAATCCCGTGGTAAATTAGAGCATGTACCTAATATCAGGAATTCTTTGACTACTTCCTGATAATATCTATATTAATTTTTAGAAAATGTTAGTAATAATAACCAATAATGCATAAAGATTCCCTTCTCTCTGATTTTTCCTTAATCAAAAATGGAAGTCAAACTCTATTTCATTTTCGTGCAAGAAAAATGTGAATAATTCCCACCATGCACCCTGTGCGGATAAGACGGACAACCGTTCTACCAAGATTTCCCTCGACAATAATTAAGTTTGGACAATAGATACATTTAACACAAGTTGACGAGCGCGGAAACACCGTGGCATGGAAATAATATAGGCTTAGCTTGCTGGGAAACCAAATCCGGTAGACATGAGTGTAAAACAACATTTTGCCCCGTTTACATTGTCGCTCAGCGCAGATACTTGATCAGCGAATAACCTATACACACCGACATCTAGACTTTCAACGCGCCTCACCTTGCTAGACTGTCACGTAACCATGCCTGCTTCCTGGTGTGAAGGCTGGTTGAGGTGACACATTTTTGGGCATAACAGTTGTGGTACATCTTATATCATATCATGCAGTTACATTTCGTGTGCTTGGTTTTATTCTAGTTTTTAACACAATTCATTTTTCAGTTGATGCATATTTTGCATCTTATTACATTACCTTTATAAAGAGGCTCACCATGAGTGATACGAGATAAGCGCTTAAAGATCACGCTTAGAGCACGTGGAAGACCAACTTAACTTGACAGTGCCCAATTTCCCTATATACCGAAAGTTCACTGAACTGCTTACTTCATATGTGTACTGGAAATTGATTTTGTGACTGATTTTTTTCTGAGAAATCGATACTTGTGATTGCATTTGGGGTCAGATTCACCGTTACATACGTTCTTGTGACATACAATAGTCCTGGAGTAATTAGTGTTACACTGATGGATGCAGGATGTTTGTTGTTGAACTCCGCACTCAGCTATGTTCCAGCCATTGGACCGGGGTCTGAAAAATAATTGGGTCTGGACATGACAGTCCATTTATATATGCCGAACACTTATGTCATCCCACCCCTCCTTTCAGACACCTTATTTGTACACTGATGTCAACCCGCCCCGCCCCTCCTTTCAGACACCATATTTGTACACTGATGTCAACCCGCCCCACCCCTCCTTTCAGACACCATATTTGTACACTGATGTCAACCCGCCCCGCCCCTCCTTTCAGACACCTTATTTGTACACTGATGTCAACCCCCCCCCCCCCCCCCCCCCCCCCCTCCTTTCAGACACCATATTTGTACACTAATGTCAACCCATCCCTCCTTTCAAGCACCTTATTTGTACACTGATGTCAACCCGCCCCTCCTTTCAGACACCATATTTGTACACTGATGTCAACACGCCCCTCCTTTCAGACACCTTATTTGTACACTGATGTCAACCCGCCCCTCCTTTCAGACACCATATTTTTTCACTGATGTCAACCCGCCCCTCCTTTCAGACACCTTATTTGTACACTGATGTCAACCCACCCCTCCTTTCAGACACCATATTTGTACACTGATGTCAACACGCCCCTCCTTTCAGACACCTTATTTGTACACTGATGTCAACACGCCCCTCCTTTCAGACACCTTATTTGTACACTGATGTCAACCCGCCCCTCCTTTCAGACACCATATTTTTTCACTGATGTCAACCCGCCCTCCTTTCAGACACCTTATTTGTACACTGATGTCAACCCGCCCCTCCTTTCAAACACCTTATTTGTACACTGATGTCAACCCGCCCCTCCTTTCAGACACCTTATTTGTACACTGATGTCAACCCGCCCCTCCTTTCAGACATCATATTTGTACACTGATGTCAACACGCCCCTCCTTTCAAACACCTTATTTGTACACTGATGTCAACACGCCCCTCCTTTCAGACATCATATTTGTACACTGATGTCAACACGCCCCTCCTTTCAAACACCTTATTTGTACACTGATGTCAACACGCCCTCCTTTCAGACACCTTATTTGTACACTGATGTCAACACGCCCCTCCTTTCAGACACCTTATTTGTACACTGATGTCAACCCGCCCCTCCTTTCAGACACCATATTTTTTCACTGATGTCAACCCGCCCCTCCTTTCAGACACCTTATTTGTACACTGATGTCAACCCGCCCCTCCTTTCAGACACCTTATTTGTACACTGATGTCAACCCGCCCCTCCTTTCAGACACCTTATTTGTACACTGATGTCAACCCGCCCCTCCTTTCAGACATCATATTTGTACACTGATGTCAACACGCCCCTCCTTTCAAACACCTTATTTGTACACTGATGTCAACACGCCCTCCTTTCAGACACCTTATTTGTACACTGATGTCAACACGCCCCTCCTTTCAGACACCTTATTTGTACACTGATGTCAACCCGCCCCTCCTTTCAGACACCTTATTTGTACACTAATGTCAACCCACCCCTCCTTTCAAAC